CTGCTTTATTAGACTATAGAGAACAGGGTTTTAAGTACAGGAGTTAAATAGTCAAAATCTTTTTTGGCAGGATAGTAATGTGGAGGAGAGTGAGAGTTCAGATGATAGGAGACCAGTTTAGATGTTACTGCTGTGCTTCAGGAACGAAAGTTCATAAAGATTATAAAGTCCATAATGACAATGATAGTTCTGGAAATGGAAAGGAATAAAGACTTGGAGAATGATAACCCTATATATTTAGGTGACAACCTGAACGTTGGAGTGGAAAAGATGGGAGGGAGGAGTAAAACAAAAAACAAAAAAAACTTTGAAGATTTCTAGCCTGGGTACTTGAATGATAATACAGTATCTTTAATAAGAGAATATTGGAAAATACTCTAATTCTGTGAAGGCGATATGTATAGGATGCTGAGTTTGAAGTGGTCTGAGACATTCAGAAAGGTTAGGGCTAAGGATACAGATTTAGTAGTCAGCTACCTAGATCTGATTATTGAACTGCCACTGGTGGAATGAGTTTATTATGACAAGAGGTTTGAAAAGTCATTAAAATAGATCAGAAAGATATTGTACATGCTTAAGGCCCAGATTGTATGTTGCAATGAGTGAAAGAAAATTAATTTCAGAAAATCCTCACTGGGTGCTAAATAAAAGCAATTTTGTGCTTAAAAATATGAGAAAGTGATAGTATAATTTATATGTATAGTTTTATTCAAAACATCTTGACTATTTTTATGTTGATATGATGTATTAGTACAGGTAATATTTTATCAGAATCTATGTGGGGGATACAAAAATGTTTTGTTATCTCTCTAAAATGAATATACTGCCAAAAATCACATATCCAGTCTGCTGGAGCCAGAGTTAATCCATACATAGTTTCTCAGCAGTGGATTAGCAAATGAAAAGAAATGCTCTGAACCTGATAGAGGAAAATAGGAAGTGTCAAGAAAATACTCCTATCCCCTTTTTTTTTCCTCCAAGCTTTTAGATGTTTGTGAGGATGAGGCCCCTTCGGGGATACCCTAGTAACTGTCTCTGAGCTTTGGCTCCAAGCAGCAGAGCAAACTGGAGATTTCTGGTGCCAGCATCCTGCCTCTCTAGCTCCTGCTTTCCCCGCTGCCCTTCCCTTGCTCATCCATATCTTACTGGTTTCTTTTATAAGTTGACAGGGTAAGCGGACCCCCTACTCTAGAATATTAATCGATCTGTCATTCCACCATTCTGGCTTTACTTCTTTGGATTTTTAAAAAGATTTTTATTTTTGAGAGATCCCCTTTTAAAATGCAAATATCCCTGGGAGAGGTCAGACCTTAGTTCTCAGCTAACATCTTAATTATCAGTTAGCACCTTACTTGGGCTTAGTACATACACATGTAGCTAAGAAGGAACCCCTGACTAAAAGTGATAAAACTAAGGAATTAACATTATTATTATTACTATTGCTATCATTATTATTATTGGTGGCTAACATGTACTGAGGACCATATTATTTAGTGCCAGGAATTGTTCTAAGTGATTTGCAAATATAAATTTCTCTAATTCCATCAGCAACCCTACTGGTGGTGTTCCACAGATAAGAAAACTGGGGTATGTGGAACATAAATAATTTGTCTAGGTCACATAGTAAGTATAGCCAAGTGTTAAACTCAGGCATTTGGATTACAGAGTGTGCTTTCTAACCATTTGCTGGGATACCATTCCCCTGTCAGAGAGATGGCATCTGATCAACTTTCACTCTTGTCACAATTTTGCATCAAATGGAATCATGCTATTCAATTATAGGCCACTTCCTGTTGAAGGTCAGAGACTTTGCCATCATCAAAATAGTTATTTTTAATAACAAATGCAATGAAATAGACAAAGTCCTTGTAACTGAGAGAATTTATTTGCAGAATATGGAGGAGAAGGGAGTAAAGAGGCTCGTGTGTAATTTAGCCTATACATAACATTATCTTTCCTACTTAAAACTTACTATACAAGTAAGACGTTCATTAAAATATAGATTAATAAAAAAATAAAATAATTTGCAGCCCACGACCCAGAGATAACCCCAGGAGATAAATAGATAGATAGATAGATAGATAGACAGATATAAGTTCCAGGTTTTTTTTATTTTGAGCCATCTTTTCTGAGTATTGTACAGGTGTCAACTCAACCTCTTTAAAACTTTAGAATGAAATAATTTTCCTTGAGTGTAAAGAAACAGCATTACCCTCTCCCTCTCTTCAGGTAGTTTAGTAATTATTGTCTGTGATTTGCCAGAAACAATTGTTAAACTAAACTATCTCTGTTCTTTATATGATCCTTTTAAAGTAAAAGTAGATAGAAGAGAGTGCTAGATTCTTCTCTTAATCTCCATATTGAATCAGTTCTTTCAACCGATGTTTGTTTAGCACTGGCCTTCCTCAGCTAACATCTTTGCTTCAACACTTTTACAACTTTAATTTCCTTATAATATCTGGAGTAGTAGAGTCTCATTTAATCCCTCCATCCCTCCTCTAGATCTGCAGTTCAGATCCCTCTGCAGCCTACATATCTGATCATGTCATCCTCCTCTACAGAATTCTTAGTGGTTTTTTATTGCCCATAGGCCCTAGAAGCAGGTTTGGGGATGATTGGGGCAGGGAATTTTCCAGGTACCAGTGACAGGGGAGTTGGGGATACGTGCAGTTTCCAGGTGGTCACATATCCTTGACTCTGCTGACTCTACATAATAGGATAGAGCCAGAGCGGAGGCCACCTAAAGTGTCAGGTCTCGGCCCTGGTTGTCTGAGTCTAAAGGCAGAGTGTGCTGCTGCTGTGTGGAGAGTCAACATTTAGTAGTTGCAAGGATCTAAGCTGGGAGACCATTTAGGAGCTTTATTGCAGTAACTCAGGTGAGACGCTGTTGTGGCTTGGACCAGGGTTGTGGTAGTAGAGGTAATAAGTAGTCATAGTCTTGATATAGTGGGTTGTTGGAAAAGTCATGACGCATTTTTGCAATGAAAATCAGAAAAATACGTCATGACTTTTCCGACAACCCAATATTTTGAAGGTAGAGCCAACCAACCATTTTTCCCGAAGGATTGGTGTGGGCAGAATGAAAGAGGAATCAAGAATGATTCCAAGATTTTTAGCCTCAGTACCTGGAAAGATTTATGATAATGGAGCATATTAATCACTGATGTCTTAATTTTGCCATTAGCGACTACTGTTGAGTGTTACGAGTTCTAATAAAATACCATATTTGACCTCAGGAAATTTTGAGGAAAGAAAAGTAAACTTAAAATGCGTGCATGAAATGTGTGCACAAGTGAGTTTTGGGACTGGTCTGTCTTAAGTCCATATTTAGGATACCCTATATCTAAAAGTTAAAAATGGGAGCAGGGGTGGGTTCTCTAATTGCTAGGAGATTTTACAAAAAAACAGGTGGAAAGGAACCAAAAATTAGCTTTACCTTTGCAGTTTTCTTAGGTTCTGGGGGTAGCGCTTGGAAGTACCATTGAAATTCATGTTGTCTTTGCTGCCCTAAAAAATTAAAGCATGGATCATGCTACATACAATGTTCTAAGTGTTCTGTAACTAGGTCCCCACCTGTGACCTGAAATTTGTGTTCAATTTATGTTAAATCAATGAAGAGAATATTTTGTGATCCCTACTTTTTGTGTTTGTTTCAGGTGTACAAAACAATACTTATCCTTTTCACCCCTCACAAAGTGACAACCCCCCTCACCCCATCCACTGCCCTCCCACCTCCGATATCATACTTATCTATTACAATTCCATTGACTCCATTCCCACCCTCTACTCCACATCTCCCATGCCTATATGTATATATAATTATAGTTGACTGTGATCCCTACTTTTTAACTAGATTTCAGTCCACTATTTTTAGGTACTTGTAGCAGAAGTGTTCCTGATTTTACCTGTTAAAGGAACAAGTTTCGGGGTCAAACTCACATAGGTTTTTTTTGTTTTGTTTTGTTTTATTATTTTTGCTGTGTATGTGTGTGTGTGTGTGTTTTAGGATAAGCTTATAATTCAGAAAATGCTTAGGTCTGCCAGAATGTAAAAGTTCATTATATGGCTAACCACTTAATATTCTTCCTCTTTCCTCTTTATTTGCTTACACATCCTTGCACATTCCTGTGGGTCTATTCAAACATAAAGCATTCACCCCTTCTATCTTTCTCTCCCCCTAAGGCAAACTGTCAAGTCTATCAAATCAGAGTATGTTGTAGAGCCATGAATTAAAGGTTATTATTGATTTACTAATGGAAAGTCAAATTTAAAATGGTAATTAAGAAAAAAATAAAATGGTAAGTGGGATATTTAATTTATATAAATAAAAGAAAATATTAAGATTTATTCACAATCACTGCCATTTATTGAGCATTTACTATGTGTCAGATCAATATTTTATCTCAATTCTTCTGCTTTTAAACTTGGTATGATTTTTCCTGTTTTACAGATAAAGTTTAGAGAAGTTAAGATATTTACTCAAATTACATATATAATGATATAGTAGAGGTAGAATTCAAACCTAAGTTTTTTTTTTGCTTCAAAATCCATGCTTTTAACTATGATTATGTTTTAGTAACTCTACATAGGGCTCTCAGAATGTAGAAATTAGTGAGATATATTTTGGTCTTACCAGCTCCAATCTTAAACTGCCCTCAGACTATTGGGCAAAAAGGATGTATCTTATTCTAGTTCAGTGAAAAGTGGTCACTACCCATTATTCACCAGTAGATGGTAGCAGAAAATTTAAAACATTTTCGAGGGAACCCCTCAGAAAGTAAAATGAAGTATGTGTTCTTTCAGAGTAAGGTGGGTGAGAGATTACAGAAGCCTAGAGCAAGAGAAATGGGAGAACTGCCTGTGGTATCATGACAGGCAGCCCAGAAATTGAGAGCAGAAGGAGTAAATTTATAAAATTATTCCTAGAAAAATACCTTGTAAAAAAGAAAAATATTGGCCCCTTGTTTTTATTTTATTAAAATTGACATTGTTCTGCTTAGTTTTCAGATACTTCAAGCGTGAACAAAGACTTATTTGGATTATGTGTTTTTTGGCTAGACTAAATAAATGTTGACAATGGATAAATGCAAACACATTGGGCAGTTGCTGCTTGCTCAGGACCATTCCATCCTCAGCCCTCAGAAGTGGCATTGTGTGGACTGCAACACAACCGAGTCGATCTGGGCTTGCCTTAGCTGTTCCCATGTTGCTTGTGGAAGATATATTGAAGAACATGCACTCCGGCACTTTCAAGAAAGCCGTCATCCTGTTGCATTAGAGGTGAATGAGATGTATGTTTTTTGTTACTTTTGTAATGATTATGTTCTTAATGATAATGCGACTGGAGACCTGAAGTTACTACGTAGTACATTAAATGCAATCAAAAGTCAAAATTATCACTGTACCACTCGTAGTGGAAGGATTTTACAGTCTGTGGGTATAAGTGATGATTCTTATTTCTTACATGATGGTGCCCAATTCTTGCTTCAAAATGAAGATCAAATGCATACTGCTCTTTGGCACAGGAGAAGGATCCTAATGGGTAAAGTCTTTCGAATTTGGCTTGAGCAGTCACCCATTGGAAGAAAAAGGCAAAAAGAACAATTTCAGGAAAAAATAGAAAAAAGAGAAGTGAAGAAAAGACGGCAAGAATTAGAGCATCAAGTTAAAGCAGAATTGGAAAGTATGCCTCCAAGAAAGAGTTTACGTTTGCAAGGTCTAGCTCAGTCCACCACAATGGAAATAGTTCCCATTCAAGAACCACTACAAACCCCAACATCACCAGTAAAAGAAGATAATGTAGTATCTACCTCAGAAGATGTAAAATTTAAAAAATCCAGTTACTCCTCAGTTAAACAAAAGTCAATAGTAACTCCTGGTGTAACAGGATTGAGAAATTTGGGAAATACTTGCTATATGAATTCTGTTCTTCAAGTTTTGAGTCATTTACTTATTTTTCGACAATGTTTCTTAAAACTTGATCTGAATCAATGGCTGTCTGTGACAGCCAGAGATAAGACAAGATCACCTTATAAGCATCCACCAGTCACAGATACAGTATACCAAATGAATGAATGTCACAAAAAAGATACTGGCTGTGTTCGCTCTAGACATCCAAGTTTATCATCCAGAGTAAGTGGTGGAGCATCAAAGAGTAAAAGGATGGAACTTATTCAGCTAAGGGAGTCAAGTTCACAATACATTTCTCTCTGTCATGAATTGCATACTTTGTTCCAAGTCATGTGGTCTGGAAAGTGGGCCTTGGTCTCACCATTTGCCATGCTACACTCAGTGTGGAGACTAATTCCTTCTTTTCGTGGTTATGCCCAGCAAGATGCTCAGGAATTTCTTTGTGAACTTTTGGATAAAATACAACATGAACTAGAGACAACTGGTACCACGTTACCAGCTCTGATCCCCACTTCCCAAAGGAAACTTATCAAACAGGTTCTGAATGTTGTGAATAACATTTTTCATGGACAACTTATTAGTCAGGTATGGATTTTTAAAAATACCATTTTTATTGTGTGGAATTCATAAAGTGAAGCCTAAAAAAATGCATATTCTCTGTATATTTAGTGTATTACAGCCAGCACTGTTTTCAGGTCAAATAGATCACTTAAAATATGTATAAAGTCAGCTGACTTATTTATAGTTGTTTCCTTCATGAATCATTGGAAGTAGTTTTATGTCCACAGTATCAAAGCTTTTTTGTGGGGAGAGGAAATTAAGAAACAGAGCTTCTTAGATTAAAAATACTATATTCATTCTCTGAGAGACTGAGAAGAGGAGGGTTTAATCCCATAGGGAATAGATCAGAAGATGCTGATGTACTAGGAATGCATTTGGTGCACACTTGAGTAATTTTAAGGACCAAGGAGTGCTCCCAAAGGGGGTAAGGTCTGAAAGCTTTAACAAATAGGAAGGGAAATTTTAAGGTCAATAAATGTGATTTTTATCTTGAATAATCTTAAATGGATTATAGCTGTAAAAACTTTCCCTTGTTGTTAAAAGGAATCATAAAACCAGAATCTTCTATATAATTAATGACTCTCTATAATGAGTAGACTTGCTAATAGACTATTATTAGTCTAATACTAGACTAATACTAGACTATTATGTCTAATACTAGACATAAGCTTCCCTACTTTTCCATAGCATAGAGCTTTAAAAACAAAAATTTTAGCCAAGGCAATTGGGCTGTCAGGTCATTTTCTTCTCCTGCCATACCTGCCTGTTTCTCAGTTCAACTTTCATGGTAATGATACCACTTTCTGTTTTTATAGCATACTTTTCTGGAATGAAGTTTAAATATTTCAAATGTAATTCCTCTTGGGAATATCTGTAAAGTTTATTTCACTTAATATTTCAGAAATGTAAAGATTCTACATTGTGCCAATTAGCAAATAATAATTGTGCTTCTTGTGTTGCATGCAATTTTATTTTTCCACCATCTTTCTCTGTCATTTCTAACTTTATGCACAAGCTGAAAGTAAATTATTATAAATAAAAGTAATATATATAGAAAACCTATATGATACAATAAACCTATGCAGAAGAAAAAAATTGTCCCCTAACCTCCCAACCCACACCACATAAAATTATTAATATTTTAGTACATTTCCTTCTAGTTTTTTTCTTCTGCATATTTACACATATTTTTCCCTAATTGTGTTGTCATGTTGACCTTCTCTCTTCATTTTTTCATTTAATGTAAAGATTTTTCATAGCCATTAAAATTTTTTATTATTCTTTTCACACCATTTCAGTGTCCATTACATGTATATACCACAATTTATTTAACTATTCCCCCATTGTTGACTTGTAACCTGTTTCCAGTTTTTCCATTATTATAATTTCATGATCAATTTCATGATCAATATAATACATTTTTCCTAATGATTTCCTTAAGACAGAGTCCTAGAAGTAGAATTACTTTGTCAAAGGTAGGACTTTTGATACTTAGTTACATATTTCTTTCCATAAAATAACCATTTTTTATTTCAAGTAGTGTGAGAGTGCTTATGTGCTTATTTTTTCCTTTATGGATGAATTTTGAAATTAATAAAAATTGGTTTTGCTGGATTTTTTGCTATCTTCCCTTTAAACATGTAATAAACTCTTAGGAAACCAGTCACCTCAGGAGATCGAGATGGTTAGTTGTTGAAATGTTTTTTTGTTTTTTAAAATTCCAGAAACTTCTCAGAATGACAAACAAACCTTGGCCCTAGTGAGTCCCCAGACTAAATGTCAAGAGTATTCTCTTCTTTGTGTCAATTTTTAAAATCTAAAATTTATATTACAACTGGCTCTTTATTTTGTTGCCCGTTCCAGGAATGTAGCATATATGAAAGAGCTTAGTAATACAGTTGAGTCTTGAACAACACAAATTTGAACTGCACACGTCCACTTATATGGGGATTTTCTTTCAATAAATACTGTAAATGTATTTTCTCTTAATTATGATTTTCTTAGTAACATTTTCTTTTCTTAAGCTTACTTTACGTAAGAATACAGTATATAATACATATAACATACAAAATATGTGTTAATCAACTGTTTATATTATCCGTAATGCTTCTGGTCAACAGTAGGCTATTAATAGTTAAGTTTTTGGATAGTCAAAAGTTACACGCATTGTTCGAGTGTCAATTGTATTTCATATCATGTGGATTATTAAGTCTATAAGTCTATGTTCAATTATTTGCAGTGTTTGTTGCCATTAATTCCTGCTGAATTCTTCACTGAAGTTATTATAATTTTCCTTTCCAGTTACTGTATTTTTTATGTAAATTGTTAGAGCTGCCTCATATTCTTTGTGGTTCCTATATGTTTATGAGGATTTTAATGTAGTGATGTTTGCTTAAAGTGGGAGTATGACATCATTATTTGTCATATGTGTTGTCTTTTGAAATTATCAGTTGGTAGGGCTTCAAAATCTGTATATAGTAATATACTGTATATAAAAACATACTAATGGTATTTTATGTATTGTGGTTAAGAGATTATAGGAATTTGGAGAGAGAATCGATGAAAGACAAGGAAGGAAAAATGGCAAAGAACCTCAAGTCTATCCAAACACATTAAATTGAATGCACAACAATATCATATATACATATATACACATACATAATGTATATCTGATTAAATGAGGCCACAGTTTGGTTTTTTAACCTAAATTCAGATTTGACTAATGCTCTTAGAGCTTTTTGAATCCCACCAATGCATAATGGGTTTAATGATAGTCTTTTGGAAGGAAAATTATAATACTAAAAAAATTCCCTGAAAATATTAAGCAGGTTATTCAGTGCATTTTCAGAAGAAAAGCTTCTTTTTTTTATATTGGCAATGATCTCTAATGAAAGGAGCAAATGTTTTAACACAAGGATTGTAATCTGAGAAACTAATGTTTTTATTTGCAGGTTACATGTCTTGCATGTGACAACAAATCGAATACGGTAGAACCTTTCTGGGACTTGTCATTGGAATTTCCAGAAAGATACCAATGCAGTGGAAAAGATATGGCTTCCCAGCCATGTCTGGTTACTGAAATGTTGGCCAAATTCACAGAAACAGAAGCTTTAGAAGGAAAAATCTACGTATGTGACCAGTGTAACTGTAAGTAGAGACTATATATTCTCTTTGCTTTTCTAAGATTAGCAAAGAGGAACACAAATGAAAGGAAGCTTGACAAAATTCTTTAAATAGTAATTATAGAAATCAACTTTCTTTGTTAGTTCATCAAAACTGGGTTAGATATTTCTATTTTACAATTGGCATTTGTGAACTCTTTTATGTTTTGCCTTATTGATGACATTACATTTTTTTTTATCCTGTAGTCAATTGTGGGAAGGATTCATAAAATAAAAAATTTAAATTTAATAGGTGAGGCAGAATAAAGTAGCAAAGGTAAATAGTTAAAAGAAAGTATGTTATTTAGTACTGAAAGAAATGGAAATAATATATAACTGAACTGTTTCTGTGGAGATTGACTTCATAAAAACCAAGATTTATTCAGAAACCGTCTACTATCTCTTCTATATTAGTCATTATTCTAGTTGCTATGGATCAAGGTAAGACACTTTCAAGGTACTCACATACCTAATGGAGGAAACAGGTAATTAAGATATACTGTGATAAGCTCTCTTAAAGGTGGACACAGGCACCCAGCATTGGGGGATGAAACAGTTATTTCAATTAAAGAAAAGCATTATCCTTCAAGGGAATGGTGTGTAAAACCACATCAGATCTGTTGTGTCTCCTCTGTTAACGTGTACATGGCATTTTAGTGTTTATTTTCAGGTATTCTTTCTAATTTTCATGTCTGAAAAAATGATTTTAAGGCTTTAGATATTAAACTTCTAAGGTAATGTAAAAAAACGTTGGATATTCCAGCATTGGAGAAATGTCACCTCAACTGGTGATTTTATGGACCAATTTATACTAACATTGTTTTCTGAGTGCTAATATGAACTCTGTTATAAGGAGCCTAAGATTTATAAGACGAGGAAAAAAATAAACCTTTATTATATTTGTATGGTGAAGTATTTTTTTCTTGGACATAAATGTGAATGGTTCAAGGTGCTTTTTCATCACCAAATCTGGGAATAGAACAATGATGAGTGAATGCAGAAAATGGTTTTATAACATGTTTGTGGTCTGCTGGGTCTACCAAATGAAGGCCTAAAAGAGTTGCCTTAATACATAAAGGCAAATGCTTAAAATTATAAGTCAAGGAGTTGAAACCCTTGTCTAGCTACACTGGACCATATATTCTGGGAGATGATCCAAAGGTAGGTCCAGGACATTGAGCAACAGCCGGATGCCTGGATCTCAGGTCATAGACCTTGAAGGAAAGGCTCTGGTGGCAAGTGGAGATGGCTTAGAGAACAGTTTCATGGTGGACTGATTCCACCTCCTACATGAGAAGCAGCTGTTGCTATGGCTGGAGTCAGAGCTGGTGTACAAGTTGCAAGACAGCTTCAGGACATCAAGAGCAAACTTTGGTAGCCAGTAGCCCATCCAGAGACTGCAGGACACAATGTATAGGTGGGCCTTCAGAGCAGCAGAGGGGACAACAAAAAGAATCCAAAGTACCACTTGTTGAAGACCTGGTGCTAAAATAACAAAAGCAAGACACTAGGGAGGCCTCAGATGCAGAGCTAGTAAAGGTCTGCTTTCTCAGGCCTTGGCCAGGGCTGGGGTGGGTCTCCAGGAAGTGGGGATGGGTGTGTTCTGGACAGTAAGGACCCATGTCCCCCGGTTAGCCTCAGTAAATGAACTGACCATGAAACTTGTAAATTGAGCATTTGGGAAGAGTATATTAAAGTATGTTTAGGGAGAGTTTTAACTTTTCCTATTTGTCATAGCCAAATCTAATTTTAAATATTATAGCACTATATCATTGTTGCCTTATTTGCAAGTTACATGTTAAGTCCTTTAATTAATTGTTTACACATCTGTCCACCTTGAACAACTCATAAATTGTTTTGTTTTAATCCTAAGTATAAGTTTCTTGAGGGCAAGGCCATGCATGTCTTTATCTCTAGCACAGTACAATGTCTATAACATGGTAGATATTTAAGTGCTAATACATGTGTGAATTTAAAACTTTACTCAGCTTTTCCTTGTGTCCTTAGATTAAATTTGATTCTCATTCTGTCTTTGATATCACAGCAAAGCGTAGAAGGTTTTCCACAAAACCAGTTGTACTCACAGAAGCTCAAAAACGGCTTACGATTTGCCACCTACCTCAGGTTCTCAGACTACACCTCAAACGATTCAGGTCAGTAGTAGTAAGACTAGTAGTAGTAGTGGCAGTAGTGGCAGCAGCCGCCTACCAACTGTACACTTCTGACTTGATCATGCCTTGTTCTTATAGTGCTTCAGAACTTAATACGTGATGAATTAAATATTAATACTATATACTTGGCTAGTAGATGACTTACATCTACTTCTGCTTTCTATTTTGCGGAAAAGAATTCTGTCATTATCTGTAGCCTTGACCCGTAGGCACCGTATTCAATAACTAACCTTCTGATTAGCTTCCCTTGTACAATAGAATGCATTGCTGATCAGCAGACCCCTCACATTTTGGTCAGCTGTATAATATTATCCTCCTTCTAACTTTCTGCTTATAGTGTATAATATTCAGCGTATTGTAGGTGTAAAATTTTTTAATCTATAACTGAGAGTATTTGACTCAATTGCTTCATCCTTGGAAAATATTTAAACGAACGTACAGCAGTTCAAGTCAGAGCAGTTAAACAAAAACTCTAGTCTTCAGAAACATATTGAGGCAGGTGAATTAGTTGTCAAATCTGTTGGTTCATCTGTTGCAATAACCATGTTAACCTGAGAGCTTGATGTTCTCTTAAAGAATGAGAAGTTACTTTATGTGCTATGATTTGAAACTATTGAAGACCATGGTTTAATTTTTTAAGAGTTAAAGGAATATATGTTTAAAAATATTTCGAACATTACAGAAGTTAAAGCCCAAAGTAAAAGTACCTTTTTCCTCAGTCCCACTTGCCAGAGATAGTCACTGTTAACTTTTATCAGCTATTTCAGTTAGGTATAGTCAACAAATATCATGTGAGTGCTTTTAAAGGCAGATGTTGTTCAATATTATTTGGGGAATATAAAAATAGAATCCTTTTCTCAAGAAGCTTATACTATGTCATACACAGAAATAATGGCGAAGTAGAAATACTAAGTATCACAAACTATAAACAAACTGATTTATCTGAGACTTGGAGGAGGTGTTTTTGCCGTATATAATGCACATGTTTTTGCCCAAATTTGTGAGGAAAAAATAAGGATGCGCATTATACATGGGTAGTAATAATTCCATTTCTCTGAAAGTTTGGGCCAAAAAAGTGGGTGCACATTATACATGGCAAAATACGGTAGGTAGCTGGCGTCCACATGTTCCCAAAGCCTCTTTAATGGCAGAGGGGGCTTTATATTACTCCCGTCTCCGTTCATGTGTCATCTCTTTAGAGAGGATTCCCCTGACCATCCTATTTAAAAGTAGCACCACCCAACAACCCTCAATATCACATTACCCTATTTTGCTTAATGGCAAAAACTACTGTTTGAAATTAGTTCTTATTTCTCTCCCCCTGCCACTGAACCAGCTCAGTAATGACAGGGATCTTGTCTTTTTTCATTCCTGTAACCAAGGCCCAGAACCAAGCTCTGCACATAGCAGATGCCAAAAATATCTATTAAATGAATGAATGGGGGTGTATACAGGAGGAGCACTTTAAGCCTAAGGGAGCAACATCAACAAAGGTATGGAGGAAGGAACAGGGAAGGGTATACAACAAAAGGTTTAGTGAAAAGACAGGTGAGACCTGCCATTGTGTATAAAATCAAGTGGAATGAAAACAGGAGGGTTAGTTAGGACGTTAATACTGTATTCCAGGGCCAGGTAACGAGGGACAGGGAGCATGGAGAGGTGAGAACATATATGAGATTCTATAAAGATTTAATTGAAAGGATTTAAATTTTCTTACTTAAACTGATATCTTAATTGGCTACTTACTATAAACTGTTGAAGAACCTCCTGTTCTTTATCAGTGCTATTTAATCTGGCATTTGAAGCCCTCCTTAACATAAACCTATTTGACCCTATTCTCTTCCATCTTCTGCCCAAAACATTTGACGCTTCATGCTTTATTTCTGATTCAAAGACATTGTTTATGCTGCCTTTTACCCACCACATTTATCTTTCTCCTTTCTCTCTATTTAAAAAGTACTCTTGCATTTGCCAGTGTATAAAATATACAGGGTATGTAAAAGACACAAAGAAGAATGGGACTGGATAGGGGCACACAGGAGCTCTTTGAAGAAGCCTAAGAAATGGAATATTTCTAATAGCTTAGAAGCTCCCCATGCATGCCTCCCAGTCCTAGTTCCTTCCCCTCCCTTCAAAAGTAAACCATTATGAATTTTGGGTATAATTTTGCCTTGTTCTTTGTCATTTTATAGCAGCGGTTCTCAACCTTCCTAATGCCGCGACCCCTTAATACAGTTCCTCATGTTGTGGTGACCCCCAACCATAACATTTTTGTTGCTACTCTATAACTGTAATTTTGCTACTGTTATGAATCGTAATGTAAATATCTTTTTGTTTTCCGATGGTCTTAGGTGACCCCTGCGAAAGGGTCGTTCGACCCCCAAAGGGGTCGCGACCCACAGGTTGAGAACCACTGTTTTACAGTATTTCAGCAGAAAAAACTGGATACTCAACAATAGGAATGAACTTTTTCTATTTAGATGGCTTACAAGTGTTTATCTAGCATAATAATGTAAGGTTTAAATTTTATGGGAAAGTAAGAGATAAAAATAAAGTGAGAATGATAAGGACTTCTCATGTTAAGCACGTCCCATTATTTTATGTCTTGGTCTTCCATCTTTACTAAAGGATCTTTCATACATTTCGTGGGGAAGAGTTGGGCTATCAGTACTATACTAACTAGTCCAGCAGATACTATAATGTGCAAGTCTCACCTTCGGCTCCATGCTTTTTTACATTGTACTAAGAAGCATTTTCACATTTATTTTTTTCCTTTATATAACCTGTCTATATTCCTTTCTTCCTTATCTATCTGCTATTATTTGTTTTAAAATCATGTTTTAGTACTTTAATACTATTATATTTATCTAAGTCTTTTGTCTCTGCACACACCACCCTAAATGGATTGTAAGCTCTTAAAAGAACTACCATATATTACATTATTTCTCCCCATAACACCAGCTCATACTATGTATATGACAGAAACATTGCTTGCTATGCTTGGATCCAGTGCTGGGAAGCGTGACCACCACATTGAGAAAGTGACAGTATAGGGGCATTATTTGAGTTTTACTAATGGGTGTTGTGCTGACTTACACACCGGAGAGGGTCACAGTTCCTGGTTTTTTCCTAGTCTGAAGAGGACTGAAGTATTATGAAAAATTAGAGGTGCCCTGTTTGGTTCTGCTTGTTTTCCACACGTGGCCAAGTAATGTCCAGATTAGGTCTCCCAAGAAGAAATTCTAGTTTCTGGGATAGCTTCTTCATGCTGTGACAAGACAATAAAGAATTAAAAACCCTTTGGTGCTTTGAATTTAGTTAAAAGGGGAAAATGTTAGTCATAATTTTCTTTTCAAAAGTTAATATTCTTCCTGTTATTATCATCTAACTACAGAAGGCAAATATTTATTTTTAAAACCTGACCGGACCTGTGTAGTAAATAAGCCTAAATTCCTCCATTTATAGCCAATTTCAGTATAGAAAGGATTTTGTTTACATTCTTTATTATATGTATATACTTTGTATTCCATACTCTGAGGCCTTTTTTTTTATTATGACTGTCTAAACCTAGTACATGGTTATTTTCCATTGATTTTGTTAATAATTTTACCCTGGTTTGTTCATAGATGGTCTGGACGTAATAATCGTGAGAAGATTGGAATTCATGTTGGCTTTGAAGAAATCTTAAACATGGAGCCCTATTGCTGCAGGGAGTCCCTGAAATCCCTCAGACCAGAATGTTTTATCTATGACTTATCTGCTGTAGTAATGCACCATGGAAAAGGATTTGGCTCAGGACACTACACTGCCTACTGCTATAATTCTGAAGGAGGTATAGACTGGAAAAAGTATTTTGTCTTGGGCTAGACTTGGAAGCTGGAGTTCAGGATTGAGTGATTTCTAAATAGGCCACTAAATCATCTGAAGCAAAGCCACTTGACCTCTTGTTTTATTTATTATTCTTCATTAAAAACTGAGGGCCTGTGCAGAAAATAGGGCATTTTCTACGGGGCTGCAGTAGTTTTTACTTCTAAGGGATGTAGGGATAGGATAATAAGGATGGTCTCATTATTTATAGGTCAGAAAGTGTGCTGTCTTTTCTTAAAGGCACATTTGCAAGAGTAATTCCTCTGCTTACTGGCTTAATTCAGTTAATTTTGTTAAAGAACAAAGCATCTAATGAGCTTGGGGATCACAGGCATTTGGAACAAACTTTGAGTTTTGGGTTTAACATATAACTCACTTTTACTTACTGCCTCCATGAACCAACCCTTTATAGGTAGCAAAAATGATTGGATTTAGGTTTCACATTTTATTTCCCCTTTCCCTACCTGCCATTAAACAAAGAATGAGCCGCCGCCTCCTCCTTCCTGTTTCTCCTGGCCCCATCACATACAAAAAAACAGAAAAGAGGTGTAGACAAAAAGCCCAGATAATCCAGGAAGACCATTTAAACTACCAAGAGTTAGTTGTATACTATTTGCTTTATAGTATGATAAGCAGCAAAAGCATCAACTGGTAAGATTATACCAGGAATTAAAGATAGTGTCAAGTGAACTAATCAGTCAGATTCTACAACGTCAAGTTACTTCTAGAATAAAGGTATAATAGATAATTCCAGAGTAACATACTGCCCAAGCTACATTTCTCATTAAAAGAAGTGAATAGTCTAGACAATTATTTTCCCTTCAAAAATAGCTTAACTCAACCTAGGTGTCCAATGATACATGATGAATGGATAAAGATGCAGTACACACACACACAATGGCACACACAGCCATAAAAAGAATAAATTCTTGCCATTTGTGACAACATGGATGGATGTAGAGGGTATTATGCTAAGCGAAATAAGTCAGAAAGACAAATATCATGATTTCACTTACATGTGCGATCTAAAAAACAAAGGAACAAACAAAACAAACTCATACAGCACATTAATGGCCCTCAGATGGGAGGGGGTTTGGGAGGATGGGTGAAAAAGGTGAAAGGGATTAAGTACAAATTGCCAATTATAAAAGTAGTCACGAGGATGTAAAATACAGCATAGGGAATAGTCAATAATATTGTAATAACTGTATACTGCCAGATGGGTACTACTAGTCAGGGTATCACTTCGTAAGATATATTAAGTGTCTAATTACTGTTGTACACCTGAAGCTAATATAATAATGTCAACTATATTGAAAAATAAATTTAAAATAGCTTAACTTACTGAAACTAATGACTCTAAATCCATGTTTTTATACTAGAAATTTCTAAAATTCCTTTATAAACATTAAGGTGTATTTTTGTGCTTCACTCTAGGGTTCTGGGTACACTGCAATGATTCCAAGCTAAGCATGTGCACTATGGATGAAGTATGCAAGGCCCAAGCTTATATCTTGTTTTATACCCAGCGAATTACTGAGAATGGACATTCTAAACTCTTGCCTCCAGAACTCCTGTCTGGTAGCCTACACCCCAGTGAAGAAGCTGATACCTCTAATGAAATCCTTAGCTGATCCAAAGACTGGGGCTTCTTGCGATTTGTATATATACTTTTTAAAAGGGCTGACATAAAATTTTGAGCTTCATTGTTTTTACTTTTTACTTACAAATCATTGCACACTATGCTTATACATTTTTTAATCTAACTTCAACTCTTTTTACAGGGACAAAATTAGCATAAATACATGTATTTCAACGTCAGCAGGTAACTAAACTTTTTTCAAGTAGTTGGGAGTTAAGCTTTTAACGTTTACCTCAGACTGGTGTTACCTCTTTTATATTTTGATGTTTTAATTGGCTCAGATCATGAATTTGCAATCTTGGACTGAAGTTCAGGTGGCATAATTTTATACACTTATTTATCTTTTGTAGCTATTTTTTATACAGATTCTTATTCGATGAAAAATTAGACACTTCCTTCACTAAATCTTACCCCAAAAAAAGAAAAGGCATTTCTTTCAGGACATTTGTATATTGAAGTTACCTTTGCCCCCTGGAATTAAACAGCTACTTTCAAAGAGAAATATCAAGGTATCATCTGAATACTCATCAATCACACTCATGGATGTTCCTGAGACTGTGTTAGAGGACTCAGAAGACATTATTTTCATTAATGGAACTTCATTTTTTCAAAAATTTAAGTTTTAATAATTGTTCTTTATTTGGCATAGTCAAACTATACAAATGAAAATGACAGCTTTATAAATACTATGTTTAAATGACTTCAATACTATGGACATGAAAACAATGACAGCTGAGAATTATAATGCTGATTTGTCTGGTAGCAAACAGGTTTGTCCAGATTCTAATAAAGCAGTCATATCAAAAATTTGAATTTATTTAACTATTATATGTTATACAAGTACAATTTAACTTGGATGAGTCCATTTTAATGTTTAACATTAGATCTCTTAAAGCTTTGTACCATATCATTTCTTGAGATTTTTAAAGGAATAAAAATAAGTCTCGAAGAGAAAAAATTACATAGGGCAGAGAAGATAACTGCAAAACTGGCAACTGGGCAACACGGATCTAATTTTCCTAAATAACTAAAGCCTGAATTACTTAATCTTGCTGGGATTATGTGAATACTAGGAGCCTCTTAGATATTCAGACACTGGGCCCTGACATTTTAAAAAATTAACTAAACTTGAATTTTATTAAAAATATAGTATATTCTTTGTTCTTCACTAATAATCTCCCTAGATCTCTTTAAAAGCCTGCTAATTTTATCTCAGAAAGAGAATCCACTAACTTCTGTTGATCAGCTACGTAAAATCTTAGCTCTGTTAATCACTGGAAGATCATTTATCTATTTTTTCTCAAGTGGTTTTGCTTGCAGGTTGAAATCTTAATGAAAGATAATATCCTGGAATGCTGTTGTCCAGTAGTGATCATCTACAAGTATAAGCTTGAGAAGGACCTCTCTTAGCAAGTTTTCCTTCAATTTCAGAGAACAAGTCATCTGGGGCAGCTGATTGTGAAGTGCAATGAGAATTTATCACTGAACAGACAAATCATGCCAAAAATACAGCTTGAGTGTTAAATGGCTAAGGTTTAAAATCATTCATTTATTAAATACCTATGCAAGTTGTTACCTCAACTGTTAATGTAATTATACCTCATTAAAGATTTATTTGGTCAAGATACCTGAGTCGGGCCTTTTTTAATTTCAAGGATTGCTTTATACTTAGGTTAAGTGCTGTACATTTTAGCACCTAATTTTAGTAGGATATTTTAAAAACAAATGATGTTGTTTATAATAGTATATTTGCTTGTTTCAGTACTTATTCCAATGTAATATACGAGAAAGAAACGAAGTGGCTTAGCCTTTTTTAATCCCTTAAAACTAAAACCTATGGGGGAGGCTGTGTGTATTAAGGGAACGCTGCACTTTATGCTCAATTGTGCTACAAACCTAAATTTGATCTAAAAAAAAAAAGTATTAAAATAAAACTAAAACCTAGACAATGAACAGAAATTTACATTTCTTACTGTACATCTCAATGCGGACTTCTAAATTCTGTTAAGTTGATCTAACAAAGAACAACATGTTTTGGTTGTAAATTCATTTACTAAAGGCACTACTGTTAAACATTCCAACTAATAATTTGTTGCCAGTAAGGTACATCATTATAAACATGACAAAATGAGATACATGGCTAGGAGGTAAACAATACAATTTTTTCTTAAGTGACAGCTTTCCTACTTACAAGATCACATCCCTTCCAGCCATTCCAAGGGCATGCAGTGATGGATGCCATTGCTCTCAACAGTTACTTGGGGAGGGAGCTTGAGGCTCTTAATTGGTGTGAGAAACTACTGCTAAAAAGGTCTTACAGAGCTCCAAAATTCTTCACTCATAGGGTCAATTCTAAAATTCTTGGGCTTGGAAGTCAAGATACTTTATACCTCCCACCAAAGCACATCAAAATGATATGGACTCAAAACCTCAAAAGAGTGAGCTGGAGGGCCCAAGCCCTGTAATGCAGCCAGGCATGAATTGGTGAGCTCTGCCACTCGCACATCACAGAAAATGGAAAACTTATTCAAAAGTAGCTATTGAACATTAGCACCATAATAAACATGGCTCATATAGCTAAAATGGATTGTTTATCCCACAAGATAACATTCATTTTTATAGCTCTAATGCAGAAAGCAACTTTTTAATGTATAATAAATGATGTAAGTACAGAAGTCAGGTTTCTCTTCTTAGGAGAAAAACATTAAAACAAAATACAAAACAGCATCCCAGAGGCAATAAATCTTATTGTGCTAAAGCATACAAATTAAGGCTTTACCTGGGTACATAACAAGTTTGAAATTATGTTGGAACATTCCCAACAAATCATTTACATAGAATTCAAGCAGTTCAAGAATCGGTAGTGGGGCTCAGTTCAACAAGTATGCATCTTACATTCAACATATGCATTTAGCTGCTATAATAAGTCACTGTAACCTCACATCCTGAAATACTACCCATGTTATAAATCCAAGCAAGTCAAGGGGCAGGATGTTCAAGAATTTGGTTCACTAATGAAAATGCCTAATAATTCAATTTAACTTGTCTAACTAGAATAAGACCCAATTATGAGAAGTTTTCTGTTTTTTCTTTGTTTTTGTGGTTTTAAATGCCCTTTTGGTTTATTGAACAAGCTGAATACATTTCCTGATAAATGTATACCACTGGACAAAGGAAAGGATCTAAATGTTGAGATTTTACTAAATTAAGGTTTCAAGTTGGTATAATGTTCCTACTAAGTTGTGTTTCAATTAGATCTTTCCAACGTCAAGGGAAAAAAAAAAAAAGACAAGGACTCATATGGTCCTAAAAATAAAGGCAAAATATTCCTAAAGCTGTATATTAATTTATGAAGCTTCTCCCACTTTATGCATGTATAGAGCTTGTTTTAGCCACTGTCAGAAGAAAAGTTTCAGTGTAGAGATCTACAATCCAGATGAAAGGTTCTATATTTCTCTACATTAAATTTAGCTATTTCCTGTGTAAAATTATAACCACAGACATTAAAATGTAGCTCTCAGATCTGAAAATGTCTTTATTTTTTAAAAAATGGATTCCAGGAAGGTTAAAAAGCAAGGGTATAGGTGCAGAATTGGATGTAGTCATTCAAAGCATTCAATTAAGAATATGGCAATATAAATACCTGAAAAGCATCTCTTAAGGTGTTCAAAACAAAATGTGTAAGTCATTCCTAACTAATCTGAACGTTATAGCATTTTCTAAATAGGAGAAAAACAGTTAACATTTGAAAGTCCTGAAAGCTTTTTCCTTGGTTAATTACATTAGATGGCTTGCCTTTGATCAAATGCCTTCTTTTTTAAACAGGGATAAAAGCATTACATAGGTCCACTGTTAAACAGACAACATGTTGCAAATTATTTCTGATATAATGTATTCCAACAAAGCTTAGAAAATAAAAGATGTTGCGGTGGCTTTGGACTAAGTTTAATAGTCATCTCCTCTGCTGACAACTTCTTTACATGTTGGACGCAACAGTATGGTATGTTCAAACTGTGCTGTATATGATCCCTTAATGTCACATAATGGTGGGTATGGATCTACAATGCCCAAGTCACACAGATTCTTCAGAGCCATCAAGTATTTACTTTCTCCCAAGCGATCCAACCATCTGCGGCAGAAGGCAAGAGTGCCAAAGTTTTCATTGATGACATTTAACAAGTGTTTTGTTCTTGGAAGCCTAAGAGGAGAAAATCCAACATTAATGATACTTGGCTAAAAACTTACCAAAACTCATTTCTCCCATTAAGGAAAACCCAAACTATAGATGTGGCTTTACTTAGTAATTAAAAGTTCAAAAAACTTTTGGTTGCCTCTTTCAACATTCAAAAGCCAGGATGTATAATACCCCATACCTAGTTATAGATGGCCGCTGAATAGGAAGCCAGCCGAAGGCTATCTTATGTTTGTTTATGTGTCTATGCATGTGTGAAATTCCCAGTAGACTCATCAACAGTATTATGGTGGGAATTTCCTTTTTTGTGCATCAAGCTGAAATGCCTGTAAAGTAGCTGTAAATCTATCCTACCACCTACCCAAAAAGATTTGTTTTTAAAAAGTAGATAAAATTATAAAGTTTACCACTGGGAAAACATTAAGAACAAAAATCTAGAAATGCCAAAAAAAATTATAATCTCTGAAATTATTATGATTATTAGAAACTGGACCTAAAGAAAATACTTGCCTATACCATTTTCATCTCAGTTAAAATTACTAACAGGTTAATTTCTTTGTTGTATTATAGAAATCCACAGAATTTATTGTTAGGCTACAAAACTGTATTTACCACTGTGGATATCTGTCACATTTTTTAAAATGCTGTTAACTGGGAAGAGTAACTCATTAGGCATATAAAAATAATAGTTTCTCACCTTATTGGCACATGTCCAACATCAAAATTTTTCATGTAATGTGAACATTCCATATCATCATGAACAATGCCTTTTCCTGTGCTACCGAAGGTTTCAATGGCATACACTTCTCCTTCCTAAAATATACATTAGGATCAAGGATAGACAAAAAAATTCAGAACTAACCAAATTTCCATTACCTTAACTTCAGACTGAGGCACTCCCTACTTCATGTGAGAAACAACATGAAGTATCCCCCGGCAATCCTTCCCCACCTTTCCCTGCTTTATCTCCTTTTAACAGTTGTCGGTCTGTGTCCTATTAGAATGGAGGCTTTAACATGGGCAGGGAATTCTATTTTGTTCACTACTACTTCCTCAGTGCCTACTGAAGAGACTAGCACCTACAAGATACTAATAAATATTCACTAAGGACTGAATAAACTTGACATACCCAACTTCCATGGCTGATTGAGTCCTGATCTGGCTAGAAACAATTTGTATTCACATGGCCCAATTCCTGTCAAGGTGAGTATAGATGGCAAGTTCATTCTGCTCAACATAACTATGTATGTACTCAACCCTCACTAGCTTTAGTTTAGGGGGGAAAAAAATCAAAATGCTTCACAAAGAACAGTATTAATGGCATACACACCTCCATTCTTGTTGCCTCCCCTCCTTTCACAATGGGCACTGTTTTCCCAGCATGTATTCTATATGGCCCAATTGAATGTCCATTTAGATTACGGATTGGTTTCACTGGCATAATATATAGGAAAAAAATAGTTATTCGGGGTCTCTGGCCTTTAGGTACAGAGTTCAAGCATTTATTTAAAAACAAGATATAGCTACTAAACAACCTCACATTAAGGTAGTTAAAATACAAAACTGGCAAACCAGCATAATATAAAATGTTACTGATTACAAACTAGAAGGGAGTAAGGGGAGATGATTGAAAAAGAATAAACCATGTAATAAGGACACAACAGGGGTCATCTAAGGAGGTACTGTTAATTAATAAAAAGTCAAAATGCCATGTACATAATGATTACAAACATGAGTATTATGTATTTTTATGGTTATGAACTAAAAGGTAATGCAAAAATGAGGATTCTGAAACCCTAATTTTATTACATCAACACTTCAAACGTTAAGAAAATCTAAACAATCCCAAGGTCCTGAGATCAATGATAGAATAAACAAATTGTATATTCATACAATGGAACACTACTCAATAATAAAAACAAAAAGCTAAAAGGTACACTGAACTGAAATAAAACCTAAAGAGCAAATGAGCAAAAGAAGGCACAATTATACACATACTGTGCAATTCTATATATGTGGAATATATATAGTTCAAAATTCAGCGTAACTGTATTACTGTTTAGAGATACATAATTGGATGGTAAAAGGCATAAAGAAAAGCAAATGCAAATGTGCTTTAGTACTCAAGATAGTGGTTTAATAGAAGACTGCTGGTAAATGGAAAGGGCTATAGAGAATTGGGGGCTTCTGGAATGCTGGCAATATTCTATTTCTTGAGGGGTGAGGTTACATAGCTATTATAATTGTGTGATTGAAGCTTTATATTGTATTTTCAGTGTTTATTCCACAATTTAAAAAAAAGGTTTTAGAAAAACTAGTACTATAGTGCTCGAATCCTTGATACAAGCTATCTTTCTTCTAGGGCAGAATTAAGTAGTAAGGTTTTTTCAAATCTTTAACAATGAAACAATGACAAGTATTTTATTGTACAATTTTGGGGGGTGGTACAGAAAAATAAAACTCTCAATTGGCTCTTCAAAAAAATCTTCCTTCTTATATAAATGATAAGCTAAATTTATTTAAAATTTAGTGTTACTATTTCTCTAAGACCTGGCAAACTGAGCCCGCAGGCCAAACAAAAAACACATTTAAGTAAAAAAAAAAAAAAAAAGTTTCTTAAAAAAGATTTTTAAACAAAAATACATTTAAATAAATTTTTAAAAAGCTAACATATAACCAAGTTTCACAGAAAAAGCAGGGCAAAGGGGTATCCATTTTTATATTATACAAATTTGAGAGCAACAGGCTAATTATTCTGGGACCAACAGCTGTAAAGGTAGCTTTTCAATTCTATATCTTCCTGCTCAAGGTAAATAAAATCCCTCCCTTGATGGCCCAGTTCTTTTATGTGGTTTTTGGGAATTGCTTCTTAAAGTTTAGCCTATCGTCCATTTCTTCATCTTCCCAATGTCATGATTTGTGTATACCCTTTCTGCTTAAACTAGTAAAAGTGAAT